TTTTCACTGTAGGTTATTTACAATAAATGATCGGCCACTTTAAACCATCCCTGTAAGAATACTAGATGGTATAGGAATAAGAGCCAACAGAAGAGAATTTAGAAATAGCCTATGCTATACCTCCACATACTGTCAATAATATAGATATGACTAGCTATCTCTAGCTTTTAAATAACATTATTTAGTTGATGCCTTATAATACATACAGTTCAAAAGATGAAATGTTAAGTCATGATGTTTATTTACAGACAACTAGGTATGCTTGCACAGATGTATATTTGCAAAGTTAGGTGTGCTTATCACAGGCTGCACCATGAAGTAGGATCCCTAACTTGATACAAAATGCATTCCAGCTATAGAGGGCATACTTGTCAAATCGCAGTTACTTCAAAGAATCTGTGAAAGCATCCCTAGTTTATCCTAAAATGTTCATTGTTTCATTGGGTAGACTAATGCTGCCTATGTTTCTGGTGGTTGGGGTCCTGACTGTAGTGGTCCATGGTAAACAAATCCAGTTGATTTCTTCCCCTTGTCCGGTTTACGCCACAATGTGATTTCCTGTGAAACAAAGATAATCCAGTTTAATACACATAAATAAATCTACCATCAACAACAATTATGGTTGACAGTTTCTCAGTTATCTGGTAACTACAAAATGTTAAGTTATGTAAATTGCTTGCAATATATATTAAAGATTCAGTTGCCCCGGTACATGTGATGCAAATAACTTACATTACATTAACAGATCAGTTCATAGTAAACTGAATCAGACATCATGGCACACAGAATTCAATAGTATGGGTGTCACCTAATTGTGTTCAGCCAAAAATAATTTGAGATAAAAAAAAAAAAAAATTAAAGAATCTGAGAGAGAACCACTCGTATACCAAACATCAAAGCAATTGACCTGGTAGTTCTCAAGAAGACGAAAATGTAATTCTTGGCGGATGGACGACTAATGATCAATAATATGAACAGCCCCGCTGTGTCCTTGTTGATGACAGTAGAGCTTAAACAGTTATCATCAAATTCAGTACTCAGGCTTTTACTTTGCGCATCTTCAAACATAACAGATTTATGTCACCCTAATGGGATTATTGTTTAGTATGTTATTCTTAATTATGTTATTATAAACTTCTCCTACATCAAATCAATGCCTTCAATTCACTTCGTACACTGGACTTCTTATACTGTAGTAGATTAACTGTGAAATGACAGGCTGCTTGCCTATTATTTTAATTGGTCGCCTGTTTCCAATGTCGATTAAGATTGTTTCAAAATGTTATGAAGTGTGATAACTAGCTCTTCTGGGTCTTGAATTTGGCGAGTAATCATTCATCTCAAATGAATTTGTCCAGTTGAAGTTTTCTTATTACCAACCTGTTGTTTGAAGTACCGCCTCTCTTCTTCGTCAACTAGGACTAAATTAAGATAGTAGCGAACTGAGAATTTTTTATTTATGTCTCTCATGGTAGGTGTTAAATCATATCCTGCTAGGAATAACCTGATTGGTATAGATTCACCTGAAATAACAATAGTAACACAATACATAGAGGTAACTCAATCAGATGCATTATTTTCTTCATATCATAGTCATTCACTAAATTTTTTCAACATTTTTTTCAAATGTACATATTTCAATTCATTTGTAGTGAATAAAATACCTCGTACAGGTGCACCATCCATGATCTCATACTTTGCAATGGTTTCATTTTCATTAAATGTATTTGGACCTATCAATGGAATAAAATAAATGTAACAGATAGTGAAGCGTGTTTAAGTCAGTAACAATACTATAGTTGCTCTATTATAAGCGCGAATCTAATGGAAGCGCACATGAACTGAAAATTGCATTTATTGTATATTTATTTTGACTATAGACATACAAGTGCTACTAATAGAACAAATATGGTACTACAAACTTGTTAATCAGCAGCCAACAGCATTGATACTATTGCGTAATCAAATTAACTGCCAATTTATTTGTATAAATCGATAAACACTAATTAAACATTCCCATATTTATGAATAATATTTATATGTTTAGTTTTACTTCAATAAAAGAAGCCACATTTAAGAGGTTGGATAACTATAGAGTCTATGTAGTTACCTGATCCGGTAGTTTCTCGTTTAATAATTGCTAATTCCATATGTTTTATTTTTATTCTCACCAAGAGAAAATAAATCTTGCCAACAATTACGTCTTTGAGATGGTATCTTCAATAGAGAAAAAAATATGTCTTTATGTACATGTCTTTGAGCTGTTGCTAACAAAAGGTATGGTCGGTGAACTACAAAAAATGTGTCTAACACCCATGACTATGGTGATTATTGAGCCATTAATCATCAATTCCTATTGGTAGAAAAGTATGTTAAAAGAACGGAATTTCGTGATTATTCAGATTAATGCAAAACTCCATCGGTAATCACTCGTGTCTGCTGGAGTCAACCTACAAAAAAATATCAGGAGATTATAATAATTTGTTATACTCATTCAGAATCTAAACATTTTATGATGTATATATATATATTGGTACATCACAGATTTCTAAATCGGGAATGCAACTTTATTGATAATCCTGTTATCCCGGAATACTGTAACTTGCAGACATCATTTAGCTTTTTGTAGAAATATCATTCGTAAATTACCATAAAGAACACACACACTGATCTATTTCAATTCATAAACGTTACTTACTTGGATTTATTATATTCAAACTCTATGTGTAGACAATCCTCGATACCAACTTCCATTTTAATACTATTATTCATCTCGGGGTACTGAGATAATGTATGCACTATGATGTCCATTTCTCTTGTCACGTCTGTTAATCTTTTTGCTATTGTTACTCGCAGGAAATAGCTAAAAATTTGAAGAAAAAAAAATCTAAATTTTAACACATCGTCTGTTGATGCTGTAGCAGGTGATATGGTAATAAGGCAAATCAATATGCGCAAAACTTGTATTTTCAATATAGATATGGTCAGTTTTGAAATGGTAACTGCTTCACCATTACTGCTATATTTGTCATCTTCAATAAAATACTGTAAAATACCATATTTTTGCTTGAATTAATTTTCACTGAAAAGACTTCTAGGGAGTTTAAATTTATTTTCACTGATTTTTTGGATGAGTTTAATGTAAAACACAGGAAAAAAGATATATTCAATGGATTTTATTTTCACTGAATCATCACTTCAGCGAAAATAATGTATTTTACAGTAATCCATCTACAGTCTACCATTTTTTATACACAAAGTCTTCACAAATTTGTTCGAAAACACTGTCAGATGTAATCCGTTTGGTGAGAATTTTGTTTAGTTCAGTTTGAATTGTAGTTTCTTGATTTCACTGCTCAATAGATTGATCAGCAGTTCTAGTTATTTGTGAGGTTCAGCAATTCAGTATCAGGAACCGAATCCATAATACACTTCCACCTTGTAATAATGAACACCTTTATAATGAACAAACACATTGCATGTCTCCCAATCATAACAAACCCCATGTATATGTGCTTCATTATAGTGAACACTTCACTATAACAAGCAATGAGTTTGTATGTGTGCTTCATTATAGTGAACACTTCACTATAACAAGCACGTTGTTTGTATGTGTGCTTCATTATAGTGAACACTTCACTATAACAAGCAATGAGTTTGTATGTGTGCTTCATTATAGTGAACACTTCACTATAACAAGCAATGAGTTTGTTATGTGCTTCATTATAGTGAACACTTCACTATAACAAGCAATGAGTTTGTATGTGTGCTTCATTATAGTGAACACTTCACTATAACAAGCAATGAGTTTGTATGTGTGCTTCATTATAGTGAACACTTCACTATAACAAGCAATGAGTTTGTATGTGTGCTTCATTATAGTTAACACTTCACTACTGTGGAATACTTTATTTTCGCTGAATAGGCTTTTTGGGCATTTTGTATGGAATTTATTTTCACTGATTTTTTATGAGTGTAATGTGAAATATAGGAAAAAAAGTATATTCACTGGATTTTATTTTCACGGAATCATCCCTCCAGCGAAAATAGCGAAAATAAATTCCAAGCGAAAATAAAGTATTCTACAGTATAACAAGCAATGAGTTTGTATGTGTGCTTCGTTATAGTGAACACTTCACTATAACAAGCAATGAGTTTGTATGTGTGCTTCATTATAGTGAACACTTCACTATAACAAGCAATGAGTTTGTATGTGTGCTTCATTATAGTGAACACTTCACTATAACAAGCAATGAGTTTGTATGTGTGCTTCATTATAGTGAACACTTCACTATAACAAGCAATGAGTTTGTATGTGTGCTTCGTTATAGTGAACACTTCACTATAACAAGTAACAAGTTTGTTATAATGAGATTTCTGTGCATTAATAAAAATCTTACCGAAGTCTAACATTGGCTCCTGTATATGACTCGTACGGTTTCTCAACTTGAACAAAGTCAAAATCATATGTTGTACTTTGTGTTAATTCCCCAGGCCTGGCTAATTCTTTAACTAAGGACGTGAACTCATGATGATTTCCTCTGTCATAATACAACTCTAGAGAAAAAAAAAAAATTATAAGTTCACTCAACTACAAACTACACAGGCAATGTATCATATCTCAGGAATTATTACATGACCATGGTGCATATTATTAACAGTTGTAAAGTCAAAATACCACTGCTGAATGATATCAATTTTTAAATGTCATCATTGTATGCGTTTCAAACAATACTGGCCATACAGTCTCCTGATGTGGATGTGAACAAGCAATAAGAAGAAGTTTGTCTGTGACCAATCAGTGCATAGCATGACATTTTTCCTGTACGTTTGACACATCGTCACTGTGGCCATCAATGTGCTTACATGTAAAATTAGAATACAATGAAAGCCAACAGAGACGGCAGATCCTCCTGCATCTTTTTATTAAGGTAGAGATGCACTTTATTTGTGAATTTCAATCAAAAATAGTTTTTTTCGTTTTTTATATAGATTTTTATCTAAAGAACATTCTGTGAAAATTTGACCAATGAAATCTTATTGGAACACCGTTAAAATTGCTGTTTATTTTCTGGTTAAAAATAAAAAACACTCACACGTGGCAATGTTTATGTCCAATTGCCTAATTTGCATGAGTAACCAAATAACAAGACCTTTGATTGACAATATGCAAATCGAGATTGTACGGGTCATAGTTCATTCAATTCACGCGCATGTGCAATTCTCAAATCAGTTCTCGATCGCTAGCAAACCAAACATTATATTTCCTCAGCGTTTTTTCTTAATTTTTATCATT